GTCATGCTTGAGCCCATCATCACAGCCACAGTGTCAATCCATCTAGTTGAAGGGCTTCCCTATTTTTTGCTGACCATCCACTTTACCAAGCATGATATCCTTCTCCAGGGACTGGTCCCTTCTGACAACACGACCAAAGTGCGTGAGATGAAGTCTGGCCATTCTGGCTTCCAAGGAGCATTCCAGCTGTGCTTCCCCCAGGACAGATTTGTTCATTCTTCTAGCAGTCCAACAATTACTGTAACAGTGATTAATGCTTTAATAGCTGTCTGAGTGGAGAATTTTGCAGACATAGCAGGGACACCTCATTCAGCCTGAGGTTGCAGAAAAGTTTCCTTTAGGAAAGGGCCTTTTGGCTGCATCTTGAAGGAAGAGTAACACTTAGCTAGGTAGACCAAGTGTGAGGGCATTTAGGTAAGTACACAGTTCATGCAAAAGCAGGAAGACATGGTTGTGGTGTTGAACAAAGAGGATTATGACAAAGGAATAGAGCACAGATGGAAGGGAAACATGCAAATTAGCAAGGAGACCAGCTCACAAGTAATTATAGCAACCCCGATGTGGTGTTGGAAGGACCCTGTTTAGAAAACATTGGACATTTTTTAATGAGCACATGGTCCATATTTGCTCCACGGTATGTGGAAAAACACATATGCACATTATACTCTCTAAATGGCACCCATGTTCAGAGTTATGCCAAAGCATGTTCTTAGAAAGTGTTTGGAATTTTTCTAAGTACACCTTTGATGTGATTTTTATGAGCAATGTTAATTTCTTTCCACATGAATAGCTCTAATAATGCTGCAATCAAAATCCTGTTTAATATATTGTTTTCTGTTTCTCAGTGATCCTTCCATTGAATACAGAATTGAATTTACAGTTGGGTATTGAAAATGACCACTCCTAATGTGTTTATGTTACCATCCAGAGAAGAAGAGTTACTAGCTCAGATTTAATTAATTGAAGTCACTTCTTACATGGTAACAGATAATGACTAGAGTTACCAATCCTGCCTTAACTATTTTTTTTTTTCATTTAATTGGAATGTTAATATATCAATCATACATAGGCCTACAAGTTTCAGAAAAGTTCAGAAATGAAGGTGCAATTAAGAGTTTTCAAAACTATGTGCTTCTTGTAAGCTAATGAAATTCTTCTATACTAGTACTTGTTAAAATGCTGGGAAATCTGTCTAATTACTTTTTAGGTAGTGTATTTTCAATTGCTTAATCCTAAAAGTGTTGGTTGTTTCCTCTTTCAGAAAACTATCAATTAACTATAATCTGCCTCTGATCTTGTGCTCTAGGTCTAGAGATGAAGACCAATAAAATCTGTTTTTCAGATCATTTGAGCAAATGTAAAACCAATTGCTGTGGAGTTGACTTCAACTCATGGCAAACCCACGTGTATCAGGATGGAACTGTGCCTCATTGGGTTTTCAGTGGTTGATTTTTCGAGAGTAGATCTTCAGGCCTTTCTTCTGAGGTGCCTTTGTGTGGTCTTGAACCTCCAACCTTTAGGTTCGCAGTTAGCATGTTAACCCTTTGTGCCACCCAGGGACTCTTGGGCAAATGACATTTTCAAAATTTAAGTGTGTTCTTCCTGACAGTAAATTAGTACACTTCTTAACTGCATGACCCTAAAGCAAGAGAAGGAAAAACTTACCTGTATGCAAGATAAAGAAAGATAAGGCATATCATTCCCTCTCCTGTAAGCTCCATAACAAAAATGCTGGGCATTTTTCTTTCCCTGTGTTATGGAGACATGAAAATCACAGCATAGGGGAAAATGGTACATGCAGTCAGTGTTCTGGATTTTGCTGCTGTTATTGTTTTAAAAGGGGAAAAGAAAAAAAAAAAAAAGATTTCCTAAAAGTGTTAGGTTTATTTCTGCTGTCTGTTTAGATGTCCATTTTCCTAACATATATTGGCAGGGAGAGAGGTAGTGAGTGTGAGGGAGGCAAAATTTATTCTGACTGTAATGGTCACAGTGGGCCTCTCACAAACATAATGCTAAATTATGGGCCTCTCCATGGGCTGAACATAATGTTAAGTTGCATGATGGATTTTATCTTACACAAGCCACTTCGGTCCATGAAAGGAGATAAGAAACCACTACAGCTGGAGTTCACTGAGGGTTGAACTTAGACTGGAATTCCAGAATTAACAAAATCACATGAGCCAGCTCTGATATTGAACTAGTAATGTGGTAAGCCTGTGGGTTGAGATTTTTTAAGGAAACTTGAGTCTTTCGTTTGCTGGGTGTTCTGTGTGCATTTCTGAGCTATTATCTGCTCTGGTTAAAGAGTGAGGGTAGAGAGGGCACATTAGCACAGAAGAAGGCTTTGATCCACAAGCCCAGACTGCCACTGCCGCAGCGGGAGAGGGCCTGAAATGGTAGCTGAGCAACAGCGCATCCACAATAGCTGCTTTCTGCCCTTGGGAAGGCAGCACCTACTCCATGGACATTCAGCCAGGCCAAGTGCTGCCTTCATTCAGCCAGTGCACAGACCTCCTGGACAAGCATCAAGCCATAGCCAGGAAGCTCTGCCCTGATCTGGGGGGAGATAATCTGAGAGGGAAAGTACTAAAGACATTTGTGGAAAACTTTATAAAATTGAAGAGCTCTGGTGGTGTAGTGCCTAAGGCACTTGACTGCTAACCAGAAGGCTGGCAGGTCAAACCCACCAGCCACTCCTCAGAAGGAAGATTGGGCAATCTACTGCCATAGTGATACTGCCTTGGAAACCCAAGGAGGAGTCGCTATGAGTCAGATCCGACTCGATGGCAGTGGGTTATTAAAATTGACAAAGCATTCAGTAAGCAGAAAGTTTCATGTAATGCATAAAATACTAACAACAATGATTGATTAGAAAACATGCAGTGATGACACAGTCCACAATGACATTGTTCTAGGTCCTACTTTGGTGAGTAGTTTTTGGTGTCCTGAAAGCTGGCAAGAGGCATCTAAGGTGCAGCTATCAGTCTCTCCATGTCCAGAGCAAAGAAGTGTGAAGAAAATCAAAGTACCTGGAACATAAGGGCAAGGGACTAGTGGACCACATGAACTTTAGCCTCCTGAGGCCAGAAGAACTAGATGGTTCCTGGCTATTATTGCCAACCACTCTGAAAGAGGTCACAATAGGTTGTCCCACATAGAATGGGAAAAGACTGTGGAAAAAATCTCAATAATAATAGTAATAAAAAAAGACAAGCCTTAATGGCATGATAGAGATTGGTAGAACCCCTGAAGCTATGGCCCTTAGTCACCCATCAGGCCTGGAACTGAGTGAGCTCACTCCCAGTGCTCAACTTTCAGCCAAACCACAGATAGACCTATGAGGTGAACAATAACACCAGAAAGATATACACCTCTTAGAACAACAAAACATAAGAGATCAAAAGGGCAGCATCTGCCCATGGATAAAGCTCAGAAAGTGGGAATGGATACTAAAGAAGGACAAATGGAAATGGTAACTACAGGGAGGAAGTAGGAAGAGAGCTGTTACATTGTGAGGATCACAATGAAAGTCACAAAACAAAATATATATGAACTATTGAATGGAAAACCAATTTATTCTGTAAACTTTCACCCAAGTCACAATAAAAAGTTAATTAAAAAGGAGAAAGAAAATGTGCAGTGGGTAAAATAACATTTCTTCACCAACCATGAATTATCCTCTGTTTATATGTATATATGCAAATTGCATACATGCATATGTGTAGTCTGTATATATACACACACATGCATAGTCACATATATATTTATATAAACAATGTATATGAATGTCTCTGATGTTCCCCAGTGGAAGAGACAGTTCCTGGCACATAGTAGGCACTCAGTATTTGTCAAATGAATGAGTAGGAGTCTGAATCTTCCAGTCTAATTTTGCTTCTCAGTTTTAGAATGCAGTTTACATAGTTTACTTGAAAAATGTTGTAGTGTTCTTCATAAATCACTTTTTCCAAAGTGTAGAAAAGTATAAATTAAAGGCTTCTTTCTCCCTTCAGGTTTGCTTGAAAACACACAGTGTGCCTTAAGCATTAGGATCGAGTTGTAATAACTGCTATACCACTTACCATTGTAATAAACTTAATCGCCTTCAAACTTGCTTTTTCTCCTTCTCCAAGCCATACAACACAGGTCTGTTCCAGTAGCCATTCTCAAACAGGCAAGTCTATTTGTTTTCTTTGAAATGAGCATTAACACTTATTTATAGCTGGAACTTCTTTCTGCACTCCCATCTCTCTGTCCTAACCCAGCCTACCCCACCACACTCACACACACACTCAACTCCAACCAGGTTCAAATGGTTTGTCTCCTAGTCTTACAAAACAAACACTGCCCACTCCAGGGAACATGGCCTCTGTTGTTGAAAACAAGGAAATAACCTATTTTCCAACGGAACAAATACGTTATCGAAGACGTAAAATAAAATTAGTTTTGAACTGCTGTTGAACAAAAATTGACTTATTCCTACTATCTGCCTTGGGAACATTGTCTTATATTATAAGCAGTTTTAAGGTAATTTAATCTGTTGTCTACATTTTGGCACTAACCTAGCTGATTCCATAAATCAGAATAATCATATCACTGTATAATATTTCCAATAAAGGAATAAAGAAATGGAGGCCAAATAGCTTAATAGAAGTTCTTCAGTTTTATTAGAAGTAGAAGAAAGAAAATAGAGTTTGGTAGTAGTAACTGAACCAGTACCTTAGTATTAAGGATAACCAGAGAAAATCTTCTAAAGTTGAGCTTAGTTAGTTGGTAGATGAAAAGGGTGAGCCACCATTTGTTTCTTGGTTGGTTGACTGGTACCATAGAATTAGATGACCAAAGAGAGGGTAAGTGATAGAGTCGCTGTTCTCAGGTGAGCTAATTGTGAAGTTTTGAGATGTAACTGTCAGGCTAGACCATACCATCTCTTTTGAAAGGAGCCACGCTAAAGTATCTATCCTTCCTGGACATGATTTTACTTTGTGGCTTTACCTTTCCAGATGATAGCAAGTTTTCAGAGGCTATCACAGTGCTGCTTTCTTGGATCGAACGAGGGGAAGTGAATCGGCGGTCAGCAAACCAGTTCTACTCCATGGTGCAGTCGGCCAACAGCCACATCCGTAGGCTGATGAATGAAAAAGCTACCCATGAGCAAGAGATGGAAGAAGCCAAGGAGAATTTTAAAAATGCCTTAACTGGGATCCTCACCCAATGTAAGTAAAACTTTGCAAATCATCTCTTTTGTTGTGATTTTGCCTGTTCTTCTTCTTCTTCTTTTAAATTATTCATCTTACTGTTTTCATTTGGGGGTAAGTAGCTCAGTAATTTCCCATTTTCCTCCATATTGAATGGCAAACCTCATAACCTATCTCATGTTCTGTGGCAACTTGGAGGAACACGGACCCTGCCCTGAGAGTTTACTTCTCAAGGTGAGCAATGTTTCTGTAGTTTTTCCTCAGAACACCGGGCCTGGCCACCAGGGTAGGGCAACCAGAGGTGCCCGCACCTGCTAGACCCAGCACAGGTCATGCCACACCTATGGAGTGGCCATGCTTCCCTAAAGGCTGGCCATGCAGACCGTGTCCTCCTAGTGCTGACAGTAGGGAGAGGACCCTGAGCACATAATCCTTGAGTTCTGTTTAGGGAGAAGGGGCCGTCAGAAATACTCTTCCTCCTCAGGATCCTTTATTTGAGGTGAGCTTTGGCTATAAACACAGAAAACTCAGAAATAGAGGTTTTTCTGCATTATTTTATTATTATTATTATTTGTCTTCAATTGGGAAGCAAATTGCCTTGACTACTTAATGCTGGTGATTTTTCATGTCAAGATCCTAAATTGATGAAGGGGTGCAAATGGGGCTTTCTCTTAGAATAATAGTCAGGGTAATTACCCCAGGGCTCTATTCAAAAAAAGGACAGCTTTTCTTCTCTCTTATTATTATTATTTTTTTAAACGGTGCTATCTCTGTGTCTATAGTTAATGTCACAGCAGTATAATGGATCACAGCCACCCATGTCCTGTTGCTTTGTAAAACCCACTGGATGACACTGAGATAATGCCATGCTTTATTCCATTCCACATGCAGACTCCCACTCGGGATGGTAACATACATGATCTACATAATCATTCTGAGAATAAGTGTTATTTTCAATGAGACAGTGCGCCAAAATGCCTATCACCCTTTTCAACTAGTAAAATGCAAAGGATAATGTATCTGTTAGGACAGGATAAAAGAAGGGACTGAAAAACCAGCAACTTAAATGCAGAAATGACCCTGTTGATTCTGTTGCCAGAAGACAGTTTTTCCAGTAGCTGTGAGAATCATACATGAAATTTGTAAACAAACTTTAGTAAGTGACCAAATATCCAATATGAAACTAACCTGGGAAACCTGTCTTTATGGAAAAGGGATGTTGTTGTTGCCAGGTGACATCAAGTCTGTTCAGACTAATCACAACCCTGTCTGTGTATAATAGAGAACCAAGCACTTTCCGGTCCAGGAATACAGGAATAGGAGACAAATATCAGACCTCTTTACCTAGACTCATCGGCCTGGAGGAATGTCACTTTATCCAACTCTGTGTGTCTAGCAGTTCTAAAGTTAAGGGGCCTAGGGATGGGATGTTCTTCTTCTGTACCCTCTAGTCAATTCTACCACTCAACTCCTGGCCATCTGAATTCCTAGAATAGTTTGGTGTATCGATTAGGTACTCTGACCACCAGTGAGCAGCAGAGAACCGTACCAAACAGTACCTTTAAAAAATTGAATTTTTCGTTTTCATACACCGGAAATTCCAGATATTGGTGTCAGAGCTAAGGTGTGTAGGATGCTATTAGCATTTCCTAGATAGTTGTCTAACTTGGATAGTGCTGCTCCCGCCATCACGTTTTTCCAGGTTAGGATAACATAAGATGAAGGAAAGATGAAACAAGAAGGAAGGGTCTGCACCTTTGTAGCAAGAAAGCAAAATATGCCCAGTAATCCCCAGTAGACTTCCATTTATTTCTCCTTGGACAAAATCGTTGCACATGGCCATGCCCAACTTGCAAGGAAACTAGGAAATACAATTTTTTGACTGAGTCCATTGTTCCTTAGAATAAAGGTGGAGTTCTTATAATGAGGAAGAAGGAGAGAATGGCTATTAGGAAGGATTTTGCAGTTTCTGCCATAAGTAGTCTCTCCTTTTCCACTTTTATTCCAGTTCAATCTATTTTTCACACATTGTGCAGATTCATGTTATCTAAATATAAATCTGATCATGTCTCCTCCACTTGAATCCCTTGAGTAGCTTCTCACTTCACGTAAATTAAGATTCATTCTCCATGTCACAGTTGGAGTCTCTGGGTAGTGTGAATGGTTAACGCATTTGGCTGCTAACCAAAGGTTGGAGGTTCAAATCTACCCAGAGACATTTGGGAAGAAGGCCTAGTGATCTACTTTCAAAAAACTCAGCCACTGAAAACTCTGTGGAGCTCACTCTGACACACATGTGGTCTCTATGAATCAGAGTTGAGTCAACAGCAATTGGTCTCTGGCAATGGCCCAGTTTATAGAGCTCTCCGTGTCTACATCTTCAACCTTGGTTTTCCCTTCACTTGCTATACATCATCCCCATTGACCTCCTTGTTGCTGAACCCACCAAAGCTACTTACCACCTCTGCCTGAAATGCTGTTCCTCCCACTCTTTTTGTGCTTGAATCCTTCTCATCCTTTATGTCTTGGCTGAAAAGCCATCTCCTGAGAGGCCTTTCTGATCCCCCCTCTCCTGACAGGTGCTATCACTGCATCCTATTAAGTCCTTCACATTACTCATCAAAATGTATAATTACTTAATGATTTGTCTGTTTCTTATTATCATACTAAGCAGTACAAAGAAAGGGGATGTCTCTTTTAGTCATCAATGTATATCCAGTGCCTGGAATGTAGAAATATGCAACAGATACTTGGTGGATGAGTGGATGAAATTACATAGGAAAGCAGGCAAGCAGGAAGCCAGAAATAGTGAACTCAGAATCCCAGCGACCTCGTAGTTTGGCCTTGGTGTTAGCCCTGCCCGCAGGCAGTGGGGTTTCCATGTTCTCAAGCAATCAAACAAATGAAAGAGCAAGCACATTAAGTATGCTTTTATTGGAAATCTCTACACTTTATCAGGCACTTGGTGGCAGGGTAGGGAATTTTAGGAGAAATATTGGAGTGAAAAAGTCAACAAAAAGGTTCATGTTGACTTACCCTCAATCGCCACAGTCAAGACCACCTATATATTTCCCATCTACCTATTAGTGTTTGAAGGACCCCCATTATCCTTGTAATGTAATTCTGGGAAGTATTTCAGCAGCCTGCAGATATCAACAGAGATTTTGAAAATCCCAGCTCCTCCTCACAGCCCCACCGTGCAAGCTCAATACCAGAGGGCTCAATGCCAGTCATAGAGCTCTGAGGGGTTCAGTGTGTGTCTGTCATAGCTGAGACCCTTCTTGATGACCTGAAGATGGGAGATACCATCACTGTGAGCCTGAGTTGGAATTAAACCTTGAGGTAGAATGGGAAGATTGCATATCTCGATGCGCAAACCTCAGAAATTTCCACTCTCTCCTATGTGCTTTTACAAAGATAACTACTCCTCATATCATAACTTTCATCATGAAAATATTAGCAGTAACCTGGCAGTTGATAGGTATGTGCATATTTCATCATCTTTTGACTTTGAAACATATCTCATTTCCTATCATATATTTCTGCCCTCTGTTGGAGATACATTTGCTTTCCTCAACCACATTTTCTGTTCCCTTCAACTCTATACAGTGTTGCTTTTGGAATGGGTACTGTAGGGCTGTTTCTAAAACAATAACAGCTGAAGTCCACAGTTATTGACATACTCACTGCATTCCCAAAAGCAGAACCAGTTGCACATTCATTTATCTGCATTGATATTCCTGGCAAACACCACAAGGATAATATTTTGGCTTTCTCTCAGAGGATAAGACCAGGATTACTAAGCAGTAAAATTCAGGAATGGCATCTCATCTTGCTTTCTCCTAGATAGCCAGAAATTTTCTGGTGATTTGGTAACGGCTTTGAGTGCTCCCACATAAAAGATCCCCACACTTTTGATGCAAAGCCCCGTAGTTTTCCATAGCAGCCTGTTCATTACAAAGCTGACAGTATCTGGGAGTCACTTGAAGGCAGGTCTGAAGCAGGACTATTGACAAACCAGCATATCATAGAAGGTGAGGCAGGCCTGGTATCCTGAAGCTAGAACTCTTAACAACTTCCAAGGAAGTTCAGGTACAATTTGCAGAGCTCTGCTGGATATAGCCAGTAGTCTGAACAGGACAGAAGAAACTTCAGGTGTGAATCCATTAAGCTGGATTGGATGCAGTTGTCTCCTTGTCTTGCTTGTCATCGTTTGCCCTTGCTTTCCTATTGGCTGAAAGAAAATAATCAAGAGCCGTTAATGATAACATGAAGAAAAAGTCATGATTTCTTCACCTGGAGGAAAAAGAAAACGGTGGGGACCAGGTTTCCTGGTCCAATAGAGCCTGGTGGAACCACTGAGACTATGGCCCCTAGCTGCCCTTTAGGTCTGTAATTGAACCCACACCTGTGGTTTCCAGCCAAACAAAGTATAGGCATGCAAGTTAAATATTTACCTCAAGTAGACACACGCCTTGGAGAGAACAATCATGGGAGAAGGAAGGGCTGCTTATGCACAGGGAAATAGCTCAGGGGGCAGGAGTGTATGGAGGGATGGACACTGGAAAGAGGTAACTATGGGGAGGAAGTGAGAGGGAAGCTGTTGCATTGTGGTAAACTGTGGTCAATGACATGAGACAAAGTATATGTGAACTGCTGTATGGAAAGTGAATTTGCTCTGTAAATCTTCACCCAAAGCACAATTAAAAAAAAAAAAAAAAAAAAGTCATGATTTCTTGCAAGGTCTCCGTCAATCCCGCATTTACCTTCTAGCTTTGGTGGTGTTCATTTCTACCAACATTTCTACCAAGTATCTCAGGTTTCATCCCATGACCAGGTATTAGATATAACCAAATAGGCATTGTTTTCATCTAAGCTTCAGCTTAAGTTGTCAAGGGACAGTACTAAATCCAACCAAGGGTTTGGGAGTCCACCATCCTTTCACTCTCATCTGGGTGGTTTTTCATCTCTGACCATAGATATGCAGCCATCAAAGATATTAGATGAGGACACCAGCC